TTTTTTTTTTGTGTTATATTTCTTTGAACAAGACTAGTTATCATCATTATATATAAGCATTTTGGTTAAGGAGTTGTTGAAAATCATATTTCATGGATTTTTAGAGTTTTATAAATATTGAGTATTGTAGTGATTAACCATAATTGATAGGATACATAATTGCTAAAATTTCTAAAAATTTAGGTATTAATATTTGAAGGAACTTATCAAAATATGTAAGTATTATACAAATGATATCTCAACTGATCCATGATCATATATTGAATTGCGTGAATTTTGACTATACGATTCAATAAATTGTTATATAATATTATGTAATTACTAATTACACATGAGAAAAATTCAAAATTAGTCCCACAGGGTATAGGGGGTTACAATTTTGGTCCGAACGGAATGCAGAAAATATGAATAGTCCTACAACTTTTAAAAAATGATCAAAAGTAGATTTTTTCTGCTGGATTTACTATTTTCGGCCCGAAACGCCACGTCGCGTACATGTGACTTATTTTTGTACACGCTGGCTTATTTTTTTACACGATGGCATCCGACGTGTTCATATTTTTTTTACAAGCTGTGGGACTATTCATATTTTCTGCATTCCGTCGGGACAAAAAATGTCACCCCTATACCGGTGGGACTAGTTTTGAATTTTTTCCTATCTACGTCGGATGCCAGCGTGTAAAAAAATAAGCCACATGTGTGCGACGTGGCGTTCCGGGCCGAAAATAGTAAATTCGACAAAAAAAAAGTCCTACTTTTGATCATCTTTTAAAAGCTGTGAGACTATTCATATTTTCTGCATTCCGTCGAGACCAAAATTGTCACCCCTATACCTGTGGGACTAGTTTTAAATTTTTTCCAATTACATAGTAGAATCTATGAATATCCCCATTCATATATCAATGCTGAAGAATGTTGTGTGGATTATGATACTTTGTAGTAATTATACAGGTGTGGAATTATGGTGATTTGTAAATCAATGTGTTAGTTTTGTAACAAGACCAAGTAAATTCATGCATATTAAGACTTGTAAAATTATAAAACACGGATCAACTTAAATTGTAAATATATTTTTAAAGTTATTAACTTTGGTATTTAATCAGATTTTTCATATATGATATATCATATTAATCGTCTCATAACAAGCTTCGATCTGACATGTATATTGTATATATGAATAAATATTTATGATAAAAATTATATATCAATATTAATTAACAAATAATAAAATCGTTTATCAATTCAATAAATTTACCTATTAACGATTATATAATATGACTTACAAATGTTATTATAAAATGACTTAAGAAAATGATTTATAATACTATCACTGATAAATGTTACTTTAAATATAAATAAAAACTTAAATTTATAATAATGATTTAAAATGACTTCTATATATTTTTTAAATTTAATTACAAATTTTTTGTCAGTCGTATAATACATGGGTGTGATTCAATGTAGCCCATATAGATCTGGACTCTATCAATGCATGACTTCTGAAATATAAAATATTAACATACTTATATTACAAAATAAAAATAAAAATTGAAGTTAATAATTTTTTATTTGTCGTCAAATTTTCATATATAGTATGTCAAATTAAATATATTTTGATGTGCTTTGGTGCATATGTAAAATAAATTACCAAATAAATTTGTTTTTTTTTATATAAAATTAAATCATCTACTAATACCAATTAAAAAATAATAAAACTATAGCATTCACAAAGTCATATATAAATTCAGTACATTGAATTAGAAAAGTTATAATATGGGTAAATCGTACAATTAAAATTCACATTTCAAATATAAATAATAATGCAATATTTTAAAAAGTGTTTGAAAATTCAATAAAAAAATCTTCCCTCTTACATTTTTGTAAGAATGAAGTATAAGTTTTTTAACTAGCCTGTATTATCACGAATGTCGTACTAGTGTGTATATAATATAAGTTTTATTTATATATATATATTATTTATTTATTTATTTATTTTATATAAACATCCCAGTGTGGGATGGAGAGTTGAGGCTACACCCCCGACCTGTGAATATAATGGCCCATAGAGGGCTAAAAAGTCAATGATCTACATCAATGTCAAATATACATAGAGCAACATCAAAAACAGAAAAAACAAAAAATACAAGGATCACATAGTATCAAATCCTCATAAAAGGTCGTCCCAGTCAGAGTGGCCTGGCATGGGGTCCAAAACGACAAGACTAGTCAGGGTCAGGTGGTGGCCGGCGTCCGAATCTGAAGGATGGATACTCTAGTTGGTCCATCCGAATGAGCGTCCGAAGTCGGAGATGAATGTCCTCAGAATGAAAGATGCGTCTCTGGGGTATAGATGCCCCCGTGCTAGCAAGGAAATCACCGGGTCGATTCCCCTCTCGAAAAATGTGTGAGGCCTGGTAATAGATCGAGCGGAGGTTGTCTCTGATGCGCATAAGGGGATGCTGGATCTGCCATGAGCTCTGGTGGCCAGATGTCAAAAGTGTGATGACAGCTGCAGCATCCATCTCTATCCAGATATGGGAGGATATCGAGGCGGCAATCTCAAGACCAATCTGGAGCGCCTGAATCTCTGCGTCATAACTCGAGGAGGCCCGGAGTGGCCAATGGAAGGCAGAGATGAGTGCCCCATCATGATCCCAAATCAGGCCCCCTCTTCCAGCAGCTCCGATATGTATGTCGAATGCGCCATCTGTGTTTAGCTTAACCCAAGGGGCCTTGGGTTTCAGCCAAACAATGGTCCTGGGTCGTGGGTGCTGGACAGGTAAAGGAGGCGGTGGCTTCAAACGGTGGGGCGGTATACAACCTGTCCAGTCTCTCGTTGTGAGTCTACCCAGGGCGGTGAGGAGAGAGAGGTGTCTGTCAACCTGCAAAATGATGTGAGCACAAGAAAATATAATATCCCTATGTTTCGCGTTATTCCTTTCTATACAGGTGGCCCAAAGGATCAAACAAGGAATAAAGAAGCCCACGTGTCTATTGTGTGTGAAAACTCAGTAGTTCAAAAAAACTGTCTGTAGCGGGTAGGGGTATATGAGTATATCTGGCATAGTGCTCCCACACTCTCCTCACAATCTCACTCTCAAGGAAAATATGAGTGAAAGTCTCGATCTCAAAGGTACCGGTCTCAGCACAACAATGGCAACGGGAGGGGAAGGAGAACCCTCTCGCCTGCATCACAGTGTCAATGGGAATGTGCCGTAATAGGAGACGCCACAAAAAGATGGAAATGGTTGGGGTGAGAAAGTCAGTCCAAATGGCCCCGAAGAGAGAGTTAGGCCGGTTTCCCAGCCTCACATCTCCCCAGGCCGATGACGTAGAGAATGCACCCGAAGATGTAAGTCTCCACCTCATGCCGTCCAAACCTCCCTCCAAGATGGGAATCTATCGGATCTGGTCAATCTAGTCTACTGAAACCCCCACCCTCACCAAGAATATCC